TCAGTTATTTCCACTATCGATGGGAGTTGGGAAATGCAAAGTCAGTCTTGGCCTTTCCGCTAACTTGGAGCATGTGCATGTAAATTTTGGTGCAAATCCGTCGAAAATTGCAGCCATGCATTCGTTACACACACACACACACATACACACACACATCCTGCCTTCTATAGATAGAGATTACTGCTAAAACTACCAGATTTAAGATAATGTTACTGTTAAAACTACCAGATGAAAAACAGTTGAAATTAAAATGGAAGAAATACTAGTCAAAAATGAATAATTGTTTACAATATTTCAATTAATAATAAAAATTCAAAATAATATTACTACTAATATTACTAGAAGAAAAGCAATTGAAATTAAGATGAAAGAAATCAAAATCAAAAAATTAATAATGTCTGACAATACATCCTTTAATTAAAATTCAAGTTAATATTACTACTAACACTACTAGATGAAAAGCAATTTAAATAGAGATGAAAGAAATACTAGTCAAAAATTAATAATGGTTTACAATACTTCAGATAATAATAAAAATTCAAGATTTTAAACAACTAACACTATATGGTGAAAAACAATAGAAATTAAAATGAAAGAAATATTAATCAAAAATTAATGGTTGATATTGCTTCATCTAATAAAAAGATTAAATATCTGAGAAGTATGTTACATTATTTACAACCAGATTAATATCCTCATTTTTGTTGTTTGCATCACTATGTTTTGATCATTATACCTTCTTACCTTCTTCAGGTGTCTCTCAATTCAGATAAACTTCAGGGAATTTTAATTAAAACCTTCATCCAGTCTAGGTGTGTAGATTGTTCTCATCTTGTTGTCCATGTTTAAGGACATCTTGTTTTGGATAATTGTCCTTTTCGTACTGTTCTGTTATTGACTGTGCTGGCATGGTGAGTGTGAGGAGGCATGGTGGAGTAATGGACAGCAGCTCGGATTGAGGAATCGGAGAGCCGAGTTCAACTTCCAGTCGAGTCTATTACATTCACTTACGTGCTAATACACTTGGAAAAGGTATGAATCCTTTTCTTTCCACCCAGCTATGGGTAAATAGCAAGACAAACCAGGTTCTATAACCTTGGATGGCAACTGGTCTACCGCAGAAAGAAATGGCACCTACCTTGGGAAAAAATTTGCCTCGTCAGTCATATATTGAAAGATACATAGTCGCCTAAGTGTGTATCACACATGGCACACAACTGATTGATATCCATACTATCCAACTCAGGGATTGAACTGTAAAGCACCATATGACTAAATTCACTATCCAGCTTTTAATCCTCTGAAAAAATAGCCAAACAGCCAACTTATCTGCTCAGTTTCTTATCCTAACACAAACAAAGCAATTTCTAAAGTAAGGGATGTATTTTTATTTATTAATCTCACAGATTCTTATAAACTTTAAACATTATTTTTAGAGTATACTCATATTTGAGTAGACACTCCGTTTATTTATTAAACAGTAGATTTATTTATTTTCATCTACCAGTCTGACTATTTGAAAAAACTTATTGGAGAAAAAAATATTTTTCTCTAATAAAATTTCTCAATATCTGTCTATATTTCTGAGATGAGGTATTATCTACACTTTTTACATTATTCGGACTATTGTCCTCATCTTTGTTGCCATATTTATTACAACATTTTGGCCATTGTATTCTCTGGCCTTCTTCAGGTGGTTGGAACAGTGGATAAAGGTGTTAGTTAGATCCAGTGACAGAACCCAAAAAGTGTGAATTCAATACCTGGTTAAGGCAGTGGAGAACTTGGAGAGGGGAATTAACAGGAGATAACTGACAACTGACATCCATTAAACATGGCATGTGGAACTAGAACAATCTACCCCAATGAGCAAAATAAAGGGTTCAGTTCGACATTCCAATCATTCCAATATATATATATATATATATATTATAAATTCGCTACACAGTTCTAACCATGTTTCAAAAATGTTTAAAAAAAACATGGTTAGAACTGTGTAGCGAAAAACCATATTTAAATCAATTAATTTATAATATTAATGCTCTGTAAATTTACATTGAGCACTATTTTGTAAAAATAAAAATATCTATAAGAACACCGGATTATATATCTTGCTGTTTTTTCTTTTTATTTATATACATATATATATATATAAATTGATTACCACCATAAACAGACAAAGTTTATTTTATATTATATTATAAACAGAGCATTTACTTAAATATTTGTATCTATAAAAGAATATATAAACATAAAAGTCAATATATATATATATATATATATATATATATATATATATATATATATATATAATTATTACCACCTTAAACAGTCAAAGTTTATTTTTAATATGACAACAAAAGAAAAAAAAAATGAAAATAGAGCTTGGTAACTAGTTCCGGACCTCACCCAACAGAGCTAAATCAAAGTTAATAAAAAGGCATACATTATCAATAAAAGGAATGAGGAGCATGTAAAAAAAAAAAGAAAAAAATATTTAAATGGAAATTAATTGGAAACTAAGGACAAAATCCTTGTTTGCAAAGAGAAGGTTTCATAGATAAGATGTATATGGCCTCCAATATTTTTAGGAGGTAATTAGAGTGGGACATACTCAAGATGGAAAATAAGTTCACACTGATAATTAGCAGCACAATTGCGGTTATTTACAAGGTGTTCTGCAATAGAAGATCTGTATGTATTGGTCGGAACATCTGATGGTAAATAATTAGTTTCAGATTTTTGTAGGCATGTGTTGCTTAATCCTAACATCCAGGCTTTGAGTTGTTCTCCCTATCTAGTGCGAACTGCAACTACATTTAATTAAATAAATCAGGGAACTATTATGTTGAGGTGGAAGAACGTCTTTCTGCATGGATGCAAGGGTGGGTGTAGCAGAGAAAACCACATGAGTGTTAGCAGAAAAGTAGCATTGTTGAACTGTTAAGGAAACCCACTTAGCATATCTATCACTAATGCTACATAGCCAAGGAAGATGTAGGTGCACAGCACATCTCTGTACTGAAGTAGGTTTGACTTTATTAAACTACAAAATTTTATTTTTAATTACGGATTCAACAATGTCCCATGGATAGGCATTATTGCAGAGAGTAGTAGTAATAAACCTGATCTCATCATCCAGCTTGGATTAAGAATAGATCTTTAAGACCCTATGGGCAAGAGTCTTAATTAAATTTGATTTTATTTAATTTACATTTTATGAGACAAAAAGCATCCCAACTATAAGTATATAAGCCAGTAAACATCAGTTTTCAGTAAACCAAAGTGAGAAAACCCGAAGAAGTTCTACAAACAAGGACATCAAGAAAAAGAATAATTAATTTCCTTATCCTGTGTGAACTTAAGGGTTGGATGGATATTGTTGGGAGATATAAGAAAAAAATTATATAATGATTATTATAATTGAATAAATTTATATTGTCCAGTACTGCATATCATATTAAAACTTTTTTAATAAAAAAAAAAAAAAAATGATTAAAAAAAGATTTTTAACATTAAAAGGCAATGGATAATTTTCAGTATTTTTAGTCAGTATAGTGAGATAGTCTTAAGACATTTATAAGACCTACCAGGATTTATTATCAATGGACAAAACCTTACCAACATAAGATATGCAGATGACACTGTGTTGAAGGCAAACTCAGAAAGTAAACTGAAAGAACTCTTAGACAAGGTAGTAAAGGAAAGCAAAAGGAAAGGATTAACTGTTAACTGTAAGAAGACAGAAAGCATGCTCATCAACAAAACAGACACCTAAGGTGTGAGTAACATATTGGTGATCTCAAAACCAATGGGCACAAAAATTAGATTACCTGGGTAGTATAGTAACAGTTAGCAGAAAGTATGATACCAAAAATACATAAGAATATCAAAACAAGAAACTTATACTTAACATCAGGAAGAGACGGTTGAAATTTCTGGGGTACATTATGAAGAAGGAAGGCTTAGAAAATCTGATACTTACAGGACAGATAATAGAAACCACATCACTTGAAGATTTTTAACAGCATCAACAACTAAAATGGATAGCATATGTAACATGAAAATAAAATAAAAAAACATATACAAAATGTTGGTCTTCCATACTACATCGAAGAAAAGGTTTGGAAGGAAGCCCCTGTTAATAGTGGAAAGAGTGATAACAGCTACTGGACCTATTTTCTTGAAAAACTGGTTTTAATAGAAAGATTTTATAGATTACAATTGAAAGTAATGCTGACTGTGCATTCAATGAATGTTGAAAGTTTCCTTATAAGGAAACAGCTAATATTACCATTACCATTATTATTTATATATTTATAACAATGTGTATGACGAACTATGTTGTATTCTATATTCAGGTATTGTAGATTTATATAAAAGATCTACACTTTGTATTTATGATTTTCTATGTATAAAAGACTTTTTTTCTTTTTTATTCTTTTGAATCCATTTTCTCTTTTTTTCTTTATTCAGTTCTCTTTTTCAACTTATAAAGATGAAGGTCATGTCTTCAAAAGTTTTTGATTTCTTTGGTCATTCTAATAACAATAATGCTGTGAGTTTAATGTTTTCTCTTTCGCTGGCAGATTCTGTCAAAAGATTCAAAAAGCAGCTCAGAATCCAAGGTAGAAAGAATTCTGTTATTCTCTCACATCTCACAAAAATCTTTAATTTTCCAAATGTCTTGCAATGTACCATTCATGACCACTTACCATTGGCACTTGGATGCTAAATCTCTTGCTTGTTTTATTTTTACTATGATTTTTTTTTCCAGGTTGTTCTCATATTTGCAAAGGTTTCATTTATTTAATATATCGACCTGTTTCGTGTTCCAGTTGTGAAAATGATTTTCCAAATGAGATTCATAAAATTATAATAATTCAAAAAAAAAAAAAAATGCCAGAAAAGTAACTGCAAAACCCCCAAGAAAATTTTGATGAAATATTCAATCATGGTGAAGTTTCTGCTGAAATTCTTGAGACTTACGGCATCACATTGAAACATTGATTCTCCCCTGATCACCAAAGTTAAGCAATATTGAGTTTGATTAGTACCTAGATGGGTGACTGCTTGTGAATACCAGGTGCTGTAAACTTGAACATGCCTTGACTATATGAACTTAACTCTGCTACTAGATTGGCAACTAGGTCCCACCATTTACTGTTGAAATAGTTAAATGTAACTGCCACTTGTAAACCAATTTTCTTTTCTCACACCTCCTGCCTATGGAATTCCCTTCCATTTAATTGCTTCCCTGATAACTACAAGTGTCAAAAATTTAAATACAACATCAATCACCATCTTGTATCTCTTTGAATCCTGTTTATCTTTTCTTCCTTCCTCAATCCTCCCAATAGTCTTTTCTCTCACTTTCACCCCCTGTAACTCCTGGCATACTAGTCGTATTCCAACCTTGCTTGGAGGTAAAATGATTACGAAAAATAAAAAACTCCACTCCCATATTAGTACAGGGATTAATATTAATCACAACTCAAACATTATATAATGAAAATTTCAGATCAAAATTCAACTAATAATTATGTATTAGGCTAAGGACTTATTGATTGATCGGTATACAATTTTGTAAGCAATATAGATTGGTTCAACATTATGATATACTAACAAGAGTGCAAGGTCATCTTTTTTTTAATTTTAAACATCAAAGGATGGTTGTATAGTAATATAAATTTTTAATTGTTTTAAATTTTCTTTGATGATTGTGACAGATGTGTTACATAACTGTAGTTATCCATGCATGTCATATTTGAAGTAGGTTAGTCATTATTTTTTAAAAGTAGTTAGTTATTTATTTATTATTGTTATTATGTTTTGACTAGTCTTGCTTTTTATTGGAGGCTTATTCATTTCGCATCTGCCCTGCTTACTTAAATATACTTTATTACTAGTAGTATTAATAGGATTCAACTTTCTTAGATGAAGCATTGTCAGTTATTATTCATTTTGGACTAGTATTTCTTTCATCTTATTTCTCTTGCTTTTTATTCAAGGCTTATTCTTTATTTCTCATCTGCCCTGTTTACTTAAATATGCTTTATTACTAGTAGTATTAATAGGATTCAAATTTCTTAGATGAAGCATTGTCAATTATTATTCATTTTGGACTAGTATTTCTTTCATCTTATTACTCTTGCTTTTTATTGATGGCTTATTCTTTATTTCTCATCTGCCTTGTTTACTTAAATATGCTTTATTACTAGTAGTAATAGGATTCAAATTTCTTAGATGAAGCATTGTCAATTATTATTCATTTTGGACTAGTATTTCTTTCATCTTATTTCTCTTGCTTTTTATTGGAGGCTTATTCTTTATTTCTCATCTGCCCTGTTTACTTAAATATGCTTTATTACTAGTAGTATTAATAGGATTCAAATTTCTTAGATGAAGTATTGTCAATTATTATTCATTTTGGACTAGTATTTCTTTCATCGTATTTCCTTTGCTTTTTATTCCTTAAGTTTTATTTCTCATCTTCTTACTTAAAATGCTTTATTACTAGTAGTATTAATAAGATTCAAATTTCTTACAAATATTGTCAATTATTATTCATTTTAAGTATTTATCACAATTCTCTGAATTTCTTAAGTAAACAACTTAAATTGAAATGTCAAATATTTCATTTCAATTTTTTACTCAGAATTGCTTTTGATGAATTTTTATTATCAGTTTGTAGTGAATTTTTATTCTTATTTCTGTGGATTCTTTTACAATAATTAGATCATTTTACATCCTACAAACATTAAGCAAGCAATGTTGATCATAAATACTGACTCAAGATTTGAACTTGCATCTCCTTGACTCCTGTCTCAATGGAACAACATCTTACTGATTAGCCAAAAATAATTCAATTAGCAAACTGAGTGAAAGAATTACATTCTTTATTGTCTATTTCTTTTTACTCTTCTCCATATCATTTGTTTTCATCTAGTATTAGTAGTAGATATAACAGTCTTAAGCTGTTTGAATCACCATCCTAATTAATTTACAGCTAGTCTTTCTTTAATTTTTTATGCTTTTTATTTTTTTACATTCAATAACTACACATAGAATGGAAGCAGCAGCTGATATGATCCAGCAATATCAGTGTCAGTTAATATCTTGTTAAATGAAGACACCTGAGGGATGTTACAGAAATCGTTTCAACAGTTACTGCCTTGATGATTAACAGTTTAGTGAAGTGGACCACACAAGAACCATGTCAAATGACTCTGACAAAGAAGGCCACTGAGTGAGACAAAACTCTGGGCTTTTGATAAATTACTTTTTAAGACAAAGATAACTGTCTCTATAAGACTGGTCACTAGCAGTCAAAAACAGAGTGATCCACAGAAAACAGACAGAAAGAGACAAGAATCTACTTACTACAATGCAAAAAGAAAGATGCCTGTTTGTCTGTTTACTTTGCCTCACCTCTGCTACAATTGGCTCATGGTTTTATTTTGTGGGTAACAATCTTGCAAAGAGTTATTTTTTAAGCTACATTCATTCGACTGGAAGAAGCTGCACCCTAACAAACTTACAAATATTTGAATTCATATCCCCTAAAACAAAAATGATGGTTTTTATACTTGTTGACCATACATAGATTTTATTTACTTCCTTTTAATCATCTTTAATTTATAATGTACTGAAATTGTTCTGTTTTAAGAATTTCTTACCAACCTGCAACGTATCATAATAGTTGCTTTACAATTAACTGTCTTAGTAAAGACAGTCAGCTTAATGGAGTGGACTTCCCAAGAAACATGTCAAACAACCCTGACAAAAAAGGACACTGAATGAGGCTAGACCCGGAGTTCTTGATTTACAATTTTTTTTTAGATAAAGCTGACGAGACAAAGAACGAAAGAGTTATTTTTTTAAGCCACAAGCATTTGACTGGAAGAAGCTGCACCCTAACAAACCTGGTTTCTGGTCTGAGCTACAAAGCTACAAATATTTGAATTTATATCCCCTAAAACAAAATTGATGGTTTTATACTTGTTGACCTTACACAAATATTTACTTCCTTTAAATCACTTTTGATTTATAACTTAATGAATTTGTTCTGTTTTAAGAATTTCTTACCAATTATTTTAAAATGTTTCTACCAAAGGTGTTTGTTTTGTAATTGAATGTTTTGTATCTTGGAGTGACTTGCAGTTTCTGTATGAAGAGAATTTGTTATCTTCCCTTTGTCTTGCATCTATTCTCCACAGCAAAATAATATCTAGTGAGCTTTTTGTCAGAGTCATGAAGGGTACAATTGCCAATTCATTATTGCATGCTACTAATTTGCTATTATTTAATAATTGCATGTCATTTGCAAGCTTTGAAAATTAAAAAAAAAAGCATTAAAAAACTGCAGCATTTTTGCAACAACAAAAAATGTCCAACAAAATCCTTGCATGACTATTTTTCTTGTACAAATTTATTCATTTTCTGAATGTTGTTTCAAATTCAATCCGCTTTTTTCACTAACATAAACTATTTTTCTTCTCTCAGCACCTTACACTTGAACCTTGCTTTTCAAAACCATTGAATTGTTTAGATGATGTGGGTAGATTTTTATTAAATAACAAAATTACATACATACATACATACACACACACACACACATACATATATATATATATATATATATATATATATATATATATATTAATATAAATATAAAGTGACATTGAAGTCAACACTCAGAGACGATGGGCTGTTTCATGCTAGAAACAATCATGATTGCGTCTAGCATGAAACAGCCTGTCGCCTCTGAGTGTTGACTTCAATGTTCACTTTTATATTTATATTTACATACACTCTATCTCTGATATTGAGCACTTTATCCCATAAATATAGCACACCTTAAAATTATATTTCTTCATATATATTAATTTAAATAGAAAACAGACAACCTTAAGGGGCCATTGTTCAGAGAGCTCAATATCAAATCAGAGTAATTATTAATTTTATTTAAATAGAAAACAGCAAAAGCAATTATTAATTTAAATATATATATATATGAAAATATATAAAGAGTTAACCTGATAGAAAAGACAATATTTTATTTTACAAAATATAAATGACAATAAGATTTAAAAACTGTATTTATTGCAGATGCGTTTCATCCAATGTGGACTTTTTCATTTTTTTTGCAAAAATTAAAAATGAATTTATTTAAACAAAGTAACTAATGATAGCAAAACTGCTCTCCCAAACAAACATACACAACAATATCGTAAAATCAAAAGAAAATTGTTGAATCTGTCAACACAGCAATAATAACAATACCTCTACATGTGATTTTAATTGACGTAATTTTCAGTTAACAGCATGAAAATAGCGTTTCTAATTTCTTTTTAAAGTTTTTACGGACATTTTTTTTTGTTATTAGACAAAATTTTTACTATATTAGCAACTACTACAGTTTTCTTATTGTCATTTATATATATATAAATATCTTAGGATATTACATTGAAACCAAGGCAAAATCGCTACATAATTGAAGTCGTGTTTTGATGGATATCAATGCATCTCATCAGGCTATTATGATAAACCAGTTACCAACCATCGCCTGAAAAAGTACAATCATAGTACTGAAGCATGAAAGCTTTTGCATAGTGATGTAAAATGTTTTTATTATAATCTCTTATACTAAAAATATTATAATAATATATATATATATATATATATATATATATATATATATGTGCGTGTAATCACCTGATGATATGGATTGATACACATGAAAAGATGGCTACATTTTTTTTTTTGGTTTTTTTTTTTTTCAATGTAATATCCTAAAATAAAATAATATTAAAAAACTCTACTATGTATTGAGTCTTATTTTTTAAATTAAATGTTATTTGAACATTGGAATTGTACTTATTCATTCTCATCTTACCATTTATATATATATATATATATATATATATATATATATATATATATATGTGTGTGGTTTGAATGAAAATATGATGCCAAAATATATATATAATATTATATAGTTTTAATTTAGAAGTATGAAATGGTTATAGATCTAACATGTTTTGTTTTTATTGAAGCTTTATCAGAGAATGTGATATGAAAAAAATTTTTTTT